ATAAAATGGGGTTATAACTGTGAAGTGAGATGATATACATAAAGAACGTCAAACACTCCCTTTCACATTGTAATGTTTCAAGCTTGCCAGTGATTCTTATGATGTGATCATTCTTTTTTTTAAAAAAATTATAACCCTCATCTGAAGATATATTTTTATTGATTTGAGGGAGAGGGAGAGAAAGAGGGGATGACTTAATTTCTTTCAGTTTTCACATGATCACCAAACGTAAATGGTGACAATAATGGAATTGATACCTCATCGGGTTATTGGAAGAATTAAATTAGATAACACAGAAGAACACCTTGTATGGGGTTGGCACAGGCAGGACTTGTCTCATAAGTGCTTCCTCAAACACAGCAGGTGGCTCAGTCATCATAGGCTCTCGTGTCAGACTTACTTTTGTGTGACCCAAGACGAGTTATTTAATTGTCTGTGCCTCAACCTTCCTTTAGTAAATGGAAAGAATCTTAACACCTAACAAACAGAGTAGCTAAAAGGATCAAGTGATAGGATACTTATATATGTAAATGGACCTAGAAGTGTGGAGGCACATAGTAGGTGTGCAATTGTGCTTTGTATAATTACTTACAAACATTTACTAGTATGCTTCCCACTAGACAGTAAATTTCCCGAGTCTTAGTCATTTCCGAGCCATGTTGGTTAATTCTAGAAGGGTTTGGGCTGGCATGTGGTAGCTAAATATTTCTTAAATGACCTAATGAGGAACACCGTTTTCCCAAAGATTGACTTTGTATGTGGGTTATCCATTCAACTTTTAGAAGGGAGCTGACGCCAGGTATTTGAAAGAGAGCCTCTGGTTTCTACAATAGAGTTTGGAAGTGGTTGACTTAGGGGCTCTTAACCTCTGTTGATGAAGCAGATTCAGAAAAAGGATATGGATCCTTTTAAAGCCAGTGGTGGGCCCATGATGGGGAAGAAGCCATGTGCCCTTTCCATTCCCCATTTAAATCTCCACGCCTAGCCTTCAGTTTAAAATTGAACCGATCGCTGCTTTGGCTGTGAAGTTCTGCTTTGAATTGATAGGCCTTGTCTCTGCAGTGCTCCCCTGTAGGCTAACAAGGGAAAGGTCAGGGCATCGCTAAGCTGGCAGCTAATAGCTTCTGCGTTCGGCAGTGGACATGTAAACAGCATTCGGAGAACTGCTTCAGGCTGCCGTTTCTGAGCACTGTGTGGGGGGCTGCTGATTGATTTGTATTTTATTTTATTTTATTTTGAAAGCCTGAGAAAGGTGGGGCGGGGGGGGTGGGGGAGAGAGACAAAACTTGACCCCGTTGACAGATGTGTAGGAGGAGACTCTGAAGCCATTCATGCTGCAGATACATCCCTGGGGCTCCCAGAGATGGGCTCCAGTGGGCTCTTCCCATCCTTCATCGTCATAGGCTGCCAGTAGCTTCCCAAGCAGGTGAACCCAGTCCCAGGCCCCTGGATGAGCTGGTTCTTGGTATAAATATGGCTTGGGCATCTTTGGGGTGGGGAGTGGGTCCTCAGATTTGTGGAGAATGTTCTCTTGGCAGCCAGGTTAGGTATCTGCTTTTTCTCTCTGTCTCCAGTGTCCAGTGGCTTCATTCTGTGTCTTTTGTGCCTTGAGACTTGATGGCAGGTGTGACTTTCCTGTTGGGTTTCCAAGTGTGAGTTCAGAGAGGATGTCAGAACTGTTGCTCCAACTTGCAGAGGAAGGAGGTGAATGTGAGATTGCCGTATGAACCCCAGATTCCCTTTTGAAGTTTTTTCCAAACCTGAGAAGGTGGAGCCTAGTGACTGAGGAGCTTTATCTATGGAATCACATCATCGGGGATGA